GGAAAGAAAAGAAAATCCCCCTGGGCTCATGTGCGTGTGTGCTCAAAATCCCAAGAGGAGGACGGAGGAGAGGGGTTGTGACGTGGCCCTCCCCCCACCACGTTGTCTCTCCCTGTCTGCCAGTGAGCTCACGTACCCTACAGCAAAAACTAAAATCGTTCTATTTTATGTGACATCAATATAGTTAAACCAATTCTCCCCTTTGGCCATGTAGTGTGTGCACTTGCCAGAGAAGGGGGGAAGAACCCTCCCCATGGGAGAAACGCTGCAATCCCTCCTCTTCCATCTCCCCCTCCTTGGGGACTTGGGCAAGCACATGCGCCCAGGACGTTTCCTGAGCCTCCAGGTCCAGGACTCGAACCATGTGATTGGCCACTTGGGATCTGGTCGCCTTAGGCACCAGGCCATGGTGTGGTCCCATTTTATTTAAAACTTTTAGTGTCACTATATTTTAGACACGGGTCTTACAAAGACGTTTTCGTTGGGTTTTCTTTCTTTGGAAGGACCGTTGGTTTCCGTGCATGTCTGAGGCCTGGTTTGCCCGGTCGCACCCTCTCCATCTCTCTGCACGCTGCATACGCCCTGCAGTCCCCTTCAGTGCCTCCTTTGGGATTGTTTTTCCCTTTTTTTTCTTTTTTCTTTTTGGTCTATAGGGTGTGTATGCTCATCGGAGACAGAGGCAGAGAGGGAGGGAAGGCGAGAAATCATCCCCCCCAGGAGGAATGGCCACACTGTCATCCCTTCTCCTCTGTTCTCCTCTCAGGGTTTTGGGCATGCATGCACCTTAAAAACATGTCCAAGACTCGAACCAGAGCCGGCAGTGTGGGACCCTGTGCCTTCACCTGCTACGTTATTTTCTCTTTATCTCTTTATTTCTCCAGTAGTTAGAAGTTTTCTATGCCCTGTTTACATTTTTGGTGGTGGTTCTCTTAGAAATGTTAATGCGAACACTGAGTAAGGAGTTATGACTCTCACCTTCCTCCCAAGTGACAGATCTTAGAGTGCTTAGTGTGAGCCTGCACCCTCCCGGTCAGTCCTGCCTCGCCTCTAACCTGCGAGTTACGCACTGTTTTCATGGTTGGATGTAATGGACGCTTAGATTTAACAACATACTTGTCATTTTCTTTCTTTCTTTCTTTCTTTTTGGAGAGTTTTTGCTATAAGACGCGTGCGCTCACCAGAAAGAGAGACAGAGAGACAGAAAGCGAGAAATCACCCCCCAGGGGGGATGGCCACGCCGCAATCCCTTCTCCTCCATTCTCCTCTTGGGATCTTGGGCACGCACGCACATGCGCCCGGCGTGAGTTTAAGCCATCAGGTCCAGGACTCCAACCGTGGTCGACTACATGGGAGTCCAGCGACATAGCCATTACACCAACTGCTGGTCCCATGCTTGTCACTTTCTTTGCTCAGAATTTCTCCTTGCATCCCAGCTTGCTCATCTAGGATCACTTTTCCTTTCTCCTGCCTCAATTTCATCCTTTAGAATTTTTCTTTTTGAGTAAAATAAGTTATATTTAACGAACTCTGTTTTGGGGGCCAGCAGGAGGCATAGTAGTTAAGGTGCTGGACTCCCACAGGTTGAGCACAGTTTGACAGCTTGGACATCACACAGGGCGTGTGTGCATGCCTGCTCAAAGTCCCGGGGAGAAACTGGAAGAGAAGGGATTGCGGCACGGCCACGTCCGGGAGTGATTTCTCACTCTCCCTGTGTCTCTCCAGCAAGTGCACATGCCCTGTGCAAAACCAAAAAAATAAAAAACAAGAAAGAACTCTACTTCTTCTTTACAATATCTTTTCTTCTTCCTTATCCTTAAAAATTATTGCGTCTGAGGGACCAGCAGTTAGCGTAATGGCTATGTCGCTGGACTCCCACGTAGTCGACTGCGGTTTGCGTCCCGGACCCGGTGGCTTAAAACTCACGCCGGGCGCGTGTGCGTGCGTGCCCAAGATCCCGAGAGGAGAATGGAGGAGAAGGGATTGCAGCGTGGCCATCCCCCCTGGGGGGTGATTTCTCGCTTTCTGTCTCTATGTCTCTCTCTGTCTGTCTGGTGAGCGCACGTGCCCTATAGCGAAAACCTCTCCAAAAAAAATATATATATATATTGCATCTGAGTCCACAATTGATAATGTTCTGGTTTGGTTCTTGTTGTTGCCACTGAGAAGTTAGCTCGGTCTAAAAGCCACTTCTTTTTTCTTTTTCTTTCTTTCTTCTTTTTTTTATTAATAGTTTTTTTTTTTTTGCCATAGAGCACGTGTGCTTGCTAGAGAGAGGGAAAGTGAGAAATCACCTCCCACCCCAGAAGATGGCCACGCCGTTCCCCTCCTGGGATTTTGGGCATGCACACGCACGCCCAGTGTGATCCCCAAACCTCCAGGCCTGGGACTCCAACTACAGTTGGTTATGTGGGAATCCAGCACCTTAAACACCACACCTGCTGGCCCGTTTCTTTTTTTGAAGGTTTATTTACTTATTTCTTCTGAAATGAGAGAGAACGCAAGTGAGAGAGAACACACCCCCCAAAATGGGCCTTGACCCTGCAGTCCACCTGCAGCCCTGAGCAACCCTGGGTCACGGGTGAGCCGTGGCCGGCATCCTCAGGGAGGGGTCCAGACTTGCATCTGGAACCTTCCGACCTGGGACTGCCTCGTGGAGCATCACGCTTACTGCTGTGCCGTGGCCTGGCCCCGATCTTTGTAGGGGAGCCGTATTGGCATGAGGGCTGTGACCACGCGGTGCTCATGGGTGTGGCCTCCGGAGCCGGCCGCCTGGACCCAGATCCCAGCCGTGTGACACTGGGCGAGCTGATCAACCTCCCTGTACCTCTTCTGTACAGTCGAGGCGGCGCAGAACCTGGGCCCACCTCACAGAGGGGTGGTGACGATGGGATGGACACGGAAGTTGCTACCCCTACGCGGCTACTCCGAGCACCGTCAGAGCACCGCCGCCACCTTTCTCGGTGCCCGCGTCGGTGGCGTGGCTGCGTCTAGGAGTGAATTTCCTGTTATGTGTTCTGTTTGAAATTCACTGCTTTCGAATCTGCGAAGCGCTGTCTTCTATCACTTCTGGAAGTTCGTAGCTGTCTGTCTTCAAGTACAGCTCCACCCCGTTCTCTGGACTCCCGTGCCAGAGCCCCAGTGAGACGTTCCTTCTCTTCGCTCTGTCTTGTCTGTGTTTCAGAGTCCCCGGGCTGTGGCCATTTTGGGTAGTTTCATTAAATCTGTTTTCCAGGTTATGAATTTGCTTCGGCTGTGCTCCAAAACCTATGTATCACACGCGCATGCACACGCACGCACACGCACACGCACATCTCAGTCACCCGAGTTTCCACTTGCAGAAGTTGTGTTTGCTCCCGCCCCGTCCACCTGGTGGCCTTCACCGTGACTTCGCCCCTCCCTCACGCCCGCTCCCTGTCCCTCCGACTCTCAGACACCCTGCGCTCCGGCCCGGTAAGCCCGGTGAGCCCGCTCCGGCCGCGGGCTCCTGCGCCCCGCCCCCGGCGCCCTGCCTGTGGCTGTCGGCCTGGGAGGGCTGGCGCGAGGCCCCCGACGGGCGGCCGGAAAGGCTCCATGCCGCGCACAGCTGGGCTGGTCCGTAGCCGGCCGTGCCTTCTCTCCCCAGGTGTCTCCTGTTTTATCCCTTCCTCATTCTCAATTCAGTTTTTAAGAAGTTTTATTTTTAGTTCTTTCTTCCACAAGTGAGAGAGTCGGGGGCAAAGAGGCAGGCCCCAGGGGGTTCGCGTACCTGCTCCACCCCAGCCCCCGTCCCACCCCGAGCACTGCAGGCGTGTACACGGCGTGTTCAGGGCGGTCTTGGGATGCGACCTGGGAACCTCCCGTGTGGGCCGGCCTCACTGAGGCCCTGCTTCACCACCGCACCGCCGTTCAGCCCCCCGCTTGCTTTTCTGGAAGACTTGTTCATTCCCGGGTTCAAAAAATAGGAAGTGAGCCAGCCCCTTGGCGGTGCCCCACCCCTCCCCCTGGCATCCCGGGGTCGCGCGCATACCAGGCCTCTCAGCATCTGCAGGCTCCTGCTCTCTGACACAGTGGCAGCCCGGCCTCTCAGCATCTGCAGGCTTCTGCTCTC